AGTTTAACCAAACATACAAAATAACTTTCATTTTCCCAATAGAATTTAAAAAAAAAATCATATCACAAATAATCACTCTTATTATTTTTATCTGATGGCAATACATTAAGTAAAAATGCCAAGGTAATATTAATAAATTATAATATTCAAAATGTAAATAGCTCTTATTTTATTAAAAAAGGAATTAATTACAATTAATTACTGAATGTTTATCCGAAATTAAGAAATAGCATATACAAATAAATGTTTTTCTTATTTAATATTTTTCCATTAATTAACACATATTCCCAAATTTGTATTTCATTATACAGACCCAAATGAACGATATTCTTTCAGTTTTCCCCAAAAAATGAAAGAAAAAAATTTGGAATACTTTGATTATCTGCAGCCATACCAAAAAGTTGCAAAAAAGCATTCACGAAGCAAAGCAGCATATTGCCAAAATAGCTATGTGCATAGCATATCTGTTTTAGCCAGTAAAAATGCTAAACTGCATGGATACTGTGTTTGTGCAATTCTCTCATTTTTCTTTTAAGCATAAACATATAACTGTGAATATGGGAAGAACAACAGAGAGAGAGAGAAAGAGAGGAGAAAAAAAAAAACTTTTAAAAGATAATTGTTTTATTACTGATTTTTCTCACTTTTAAAATTCTACTGCTCTTGTATGGAATTCTTAGTGTGCCACCATTTCGGAAAATACCCGTTTCTTTTGCACATTAACCTGAAAAAAAATTAGTCGGCAACGAGTCCACGACTTTTTGGTGAAGGTGCGGATATTTAGAAGGTACCAAATTTTGATTTAATAAATATTTTATTTTCATTAAAAAGTCAATGAATCAATCTAAATTTTGAAACTTTAAAACATCCCCCCTCAGCAACAATCATCTTTGTAAAAAGGAATAATCCTCACTTCGAACACTAGGATAGAAGAGTTACGTTTCTTCTGCCACACTTTGCAAGTGAACTAGCACCTTTAAATATGACAGTAATTTGATAATTTAAAATAAAGTAACTGAAACTATTACTCAAATAAATACTAAACGATTTCAGAGTATTACCTAAAGATGATTTTTATCCAAAATTCCTGAAATACAATTATTTGAAAAATTGCAAATAGTTGTTTTAGAAGAATTTATATTAAAATGCACAATCAATCTGTTATCCCATTAAACTCTCAGATGAATAAAACTTCTCAGATATATACTAGTGGTGCATAATGTTGACATTGGCCTTCAATAATGAAGCAAACAGTAAGTCTTACTCTGACAACATATAGGAAAGGAACAAATCACACTTAAATGTGCTCTTCTTGATCTAGAAACTAAAAAACGTTGTTGGGATATAAAAATAGAAGACAGAACATTTAAACTCCAAAATATTATTACAAAATGTGAAGAAAGCTGCAAAACATTTGAATATTTTTTAAAGAAAGCATTTTAATATTGGATCAATTCTCTGCACAGTAATGTATTACACAAAATAAATGGTAATTTTTTATTATCGGGAAGCCCACTAAAAACTTGTGAAAAAGTATTTGTAAGGCAATGCAGTCACCAAAATAATTATGTGGCAACTCATGATATCAGCAAAAATGTGACCCATGTATATGTGTAGCAATGTCTGTTTTGGTTAGTGTGCAATGCCTATGTTCTACACACTGCCAGCTGTACAATTCTCTCTTTTTTTTTAATAACAAAACAGATCACCTGTGCACATGGAGAGAACAACAGTGCCCCCCCCCAAAAAAAATACAGCAAAATTTTTCAAAAAAAAAAAAAAAAAAAAAAAGGTAAGCATTTTATTACCAATGATTTTTGCCATTTTAACCCTCTGAGTGTTATGAATTTTTCCCTAAAATTTCATGAAAAAGTGGTATTTTCTTGATCATAATTTCGAGATGATCCTCTCACTTTGTACTCTCAACTTTTTTCCTTTTAATAAACATAAAAAAAAAAAAAAAAAAAAAAAAAAAAAAAAAAAAAATCAGATACATCAGGGGCTAGTAGAAATTTTCATGTGCTATGAATCGCAAAACCATATCTATATGGAATCTTATGTACATAACCACTGGAGCTTTAATTTTATTGACCGATTGCTCTTTTATAGAATTTTTAGTGTGTTGCTATTTTGAAAATGGTTCTTGCATTTGGCACATCAGTTTAGTGAAAAATCTTAAATCTCACCAAGAGATATGCTGTTTTGGTAAAAACCCTGCTTCTCTGGAAACTCACCAACAAGTTCCAAGACCTGTTGGTGCAGATGCAGGTAAGGAGAAAGTGCTAATATATGTTTTAAAATTCCATTCCAAAACTCTGTATGTAAAATATCTTTCATTTATTCATATTACAGATACCTTCATATTGCTATGAGTACATAATTTTTTAATTTTATTGCATAGTTTTACAAGTGTTTTACCAGCTCTTGATTTAACAAATTTCATGATCAATCAGATAATTCATCTCTATAGATTCAGTTCCATACAGAAAGTAACCAATCAAGACTGCATAAACTCTACTGAACAAGATTACTCACAATATACAAAAATAATCTAAGTATCATCTTCTAGTAACAGAGTTTTTCAGAAGAAACAAAAGATAAAAGTAAGACATAATATTTGGTATACATAACAGACATATATTTTAATAGTAACTTATGTATAAATTAGTCATAGTAATAAAATCTGTAACAACATTTTACTTGAATGTGACAATACGCATGATTAAATATATAGTTTCTAAAAAGTTACATAAAATTAGAAACAAGTTTTGTAAGCATTTTAATTTAATGCACAATTTATAGATATAATTACTCAGCGAATAAAATTTAAGACCAAATATATGTTTCCTTCTGAAAAAAACTTTTACCGTTACCATTAAACACTCATTCTGTATGCATTTACAGTAGGTGCTGCTTAATGTGATTACGTTTGCCCAAGCTATTTTGATAATATCAACCGAATGATAATATCAAAGAAGAAAAAATATTCTTCAAAACAGCAATGGAATTTAACTATTTTAATATAAATAAAATAAGAAAACATATTTAAGAAAATCAAATCTGAGAGTCTTCAGGTTTTAATGATCATCCGAAAGGGCCCTTTTAAAAGTTTAATATGATTTATCAGCAGAGATTACCAATAAAGATGGCTCAAGGGGAATAGAGAAACATTTTTACAGAATGTTACATAAACATGCATTTAGATTACCATGGGAATGTTGTGCATCCTCTATAATTTAAAAAGTGAAAAATATGTGTATAATCTATAAAAATATTGAATGTTTTTAATTAGATAAATCATGAATTAAATGTATTTATATTTAAATCAATCAGACAAAAGGTAGAAAAGCATATTCTTAAGAAGGGCACCTATTACTTTTAAACAGTTTAGCTTGCTAATTAATAACTGACAGCTTAAATATAAAAGAATATTTGGGTGAAGTGCAGAATTGCCCATTTATTTGGCACTTTTTACAAGAGTAAGAAGAATTGGATTTTTTTCAATTTCCTTTAACTTTTTAAGTGAAAATACATTGATGTATACATAGACAAAGTCAAGGGACTACGCAATGCCGAATTTGTGCAATTCTTTGATGTTTTTTAAGTGAAAACATGTTGATGTGTACATGGATACCCAATTTGTGCAATTCTTAAAAACGTGCCAAGCAGTGGGTGATTCTGCACTTTCCCCAAATATTTTGTACTTTTCCAAATGGCAACAGACTTGAAAGAAATGCAAAATCCTGTTACGAGACTAATAGCCAGTTTGAGCTAATAACTCAAAACATATAAATAGGCACTTTCACAGCCTTTTAATCACAGAAATGTTTGTTTAAAACGTATTCGTAATATTTCTGGAAATTATTTGACCCATACTGTAACACTAATCTTAATACTTTGAGGTCATACCTCAACGGAAGAGAATTTCTCAATGTAAAATTTAAAATTTGTCACTTTAAAATAGTTTATTTTATAGTTATTTTGATCAGAATAAGCAATGTATTTTCCACATTTTCATATACAAATGGGTGGGCCTTTGGCAGTTCATTAACAATAAACAAATAAGATTAGCTGCATTCACATTAAGCAAATTCTACTATACACCAAAAACTTTGCAGAGGTACACTGCGAAAAAAAAAAGGGACAATTCTATATCTTCTGTTCTACTGGGCCAATTTACGAAATTCAAATTGCGTTTTTCATGTCTTGAAAGCGTGGCTTAGGATATGTATTAGATTTATATACAGCATTGTTCTAAGATAGGTATTTTAACACAAAATCGGACTTTTTCTGAAATGAGATGCCAATATTTTTCCATATTTCAATTCTATGACACATATTAAATTTCGTAAAATTTGGTGCGAAATTTACGGAGAAATTCAAAATTTTATCTTGCCAAATTTTTTTCAGTTTTTTACCAAGAATAATTCACTTGGTGAAATTCTTAATTTACAGCAACCTAGTTATCTTTCCTTTTTTTCATTGTACACAAGTGGGAAAAAAGTCATCATTCATTATTTCAAATAATTTTAACAAAGTCTGTAAACCACACTTTTGTTATTATAGCTTATATTAAATATGGCAAATTTTAAAATATGCCAAAATGTAAATTCACGTATATCTTAGGAAATTTTCAATTAAAAACTCTTAAGTTTTTACAGATATGCTTAGAAATACATCCACTTTAAGATGTTAAAAAATTTATAGCTTATAATACAAATTCTTTTTTTTTACAAATTATTAAAAAATATTTAAAACTAAAATTTTTAAAATAAAGAATAAAAAATGGGCAAATTATTTTGGATTAAGCCTAAATTTTGAATTCTGGAAGAAGGAATCAAGTAAGTTTAATAGAAAAAATATTAATGAATATATGTCAAATTTAATTAACATTGGAGTTACAATTTTGAGAGCTAATTTTTTAAAAACTACTCCTGAGATTTGTTACAAAACTTGGCAGTTTGGCATAATTTGAGTCGTAGAATTGAAATAAATTGGCATGCCATTTCAGAAAAAGTCCAACTTTATGTCAAAATACCTATATTAAAGGCAATGCTATATATAAATCTAATACATATCCTAAGTCGCACTTTTGAGACATGAAAAACGCAAGTTAAACTTTGTCAATCGGTTCTGTAGAATAGGATATATAGAACTGTCCCCTCTTTTTTTTTTCGCAGTGTACATGTCAATAAACTTTCTAAGTACACCCCAAATTAACATATTACAGAATATGAAATAAAAAAAACCAATAAAACAAACTAAAATTTCACTTTTATTTTGTGAAAAAAAAGTTTTTTTTTTTTTTTTTTGTAACATCAGGAAGTATATAAATTATGTTATATTACTTCACAAACAATAAGTGCTCCCCAACATAAAAACATACTTGAATAGCTCTATTACTGAATTAAAACATATCAAAATATTACAGAAATACTTCTACTAAACATGAAAATTAAATAAACTATGTAACTAATATTTAGTTAATTATCTTGCAAATGTAATTTCAGAAAAGATTCCAATGAGGAAATTCTGAATGTTATAGTGATAGAACACATCATATACATTAAAATTTACTGATATCGACAGACTCAAAGGATTTCCATAAATAGATTAAATGACTAAATAAAGTAAAACTGTTGTACAAAAAATATGGTAAATTATTAAATTTAATTTTAAATGTAATACTGTTATGCACAGCATAACAGCAACATTTGCAAGTGCATATGTTGATGATCTTTAACGGGGGGGGAAGAAACATATTTGTAAATCAGAAATATCCACCGAGATTATTTAACCCTTTAAATGAATGATTACCGTAATAATTTCAAAAATAAATTTTCATACTGTTTATTTAAGACTTTTATGTCGAGTCAGCTTTTTTAACAGTGCTGCATCTGAAAAATCCATACCTTCTTTAAGAAATGCTTTGCAAGGATGCATCATTTATTAAACTGACATTTTTACAGTTTTTCTCGAAATAAAACATAATATTCCAGAAAAGAATTTTAAATATTTTTTCAAATATATCTGAACTGACTATTTTATAGGCATAGGTGAGTTTATTAAATATATATTTCTCAAACAGCTGCTGAATATATATTAAAATGAGAATAGAAAATTCTTGACAAAAATAGTTTTAAGCCTTCAAAATATATTTAAATGCAACGAGAATTTTTTCAATGTTTTCTTTCTGAAATAAATATTAATGTATTTACTTAAAGTGTAAATACAAATTTAAGCATTCTGAAATATGAAAAAATTTCAGAAACAGAAGTGTAACAAATATTTATCACTCAAAACTAATCTTTGTGGTGATTTTTATGCATAAAGTTTTATAAACTTCTTAGAATTTAAATTTTTTATAGTGTCTTCATACAGTATTGATTTATTTTACACTTCAAAATTATTATGTTGACTGCTGTAACTGTGGTCGAGGATTATTTTGTAACGCTACACTAAGGAATGCTAAATGGCCTTTAGGGCATTTATTTGCATAATGTCCCTTCTCACCACATTTAAAGCAAGTTACTTGTTCAATAGGCCTATAACCAGCCTTAAGGCCATCTTGCAATTGAATAGTGACTAATTGTGCCTGACTATTTGGTACAGTTACTCTTTGACCATGATCTTCCCTAAGTTCTGCAGGCATATTTGGACATGCAATAGCTTTATGACCAGGTTCAGAACAGTAATGACAAGTGATAGTTTGCTTTTTTGGCTGCGTACCTGGATCTTGAATAGGTAAATCAAATTTTGGGTGCATGAACTTACAGTTTGGCCCTTCAATACAGAAACCACACATATAGTTTGGGCAGATTACTCTTCTTGTATGTCGATGCCTACAGTTAGGCCCATGTCTACAAAACCCCCGATCATACCACGGGCAATCTTTGATTTTTGCTTCTGGATCTATGTGCAAGAAAGGGCATTCCTTATTACTACAGGCATTAAACCTAGAATAAAAGTAACATTCAGGCATTTTACTCATATCATATTCGTGTAAGAATTCACACTGATCGCCCTTCTTGCAAAGACCCCGAAGCCAATGTTTACATACAACAGTTCTATCACCTTTAACATGACGAAATGGACAAGCAGACCCTTTACTACATAAGCCCCGTAAGTAAAAATCGCAAATAGAGGATCCCGATTTGTCCATGCCGGGAAATGGCAATGGTAAAGCACCCAGCTGTTGTTCCAGGGCATGTTCTATATCAAATCTTAAATTATCTGCATAAGCGACAATATCTTCCATAATTTTTATTTTTATTCATAAACAAACAAATAAATAAAATACTATCTTTCTCTTCCAACCAGTTTACGCATTGCCAAACAATAAAGCTACATGCAAACAACTGTTGCCATTTCTTTTCGAACGAATATTCTGTTTTTATTTTGATGGGAATGATTCCACTTTTGGTTTTAATGAACAGTCGAAAGTTAATAAAATTCGATTCAATAAAATGCAGATTAAAATAAATGTTTAAAAATACATAGCCCTTTAATTCTAATAAATTACTCTTAAAATAGTTAAAAGTATTATCAGAATATTTATCATCCTTTATCATGATCAAATTTCATCTGATCTAATTTTAAAATAGAGATTTGATTTATGAAATTATTAAAATTAAATTAATCTCTTCATTTTATTGTTATGAAAAGTTTCCTATTAGCCTTCAAAAGACAGACATATGAAATAATATTAGCGAAATATATCCTGCATTTGGCAATGCTGTCATTTGTACAAGATTTTGGCGTGGAAATGTTGGGGTTGCTTTGGTAGAAAGTTGTGCTCAATGTAAAATTTCAGAAATTGAATAATACAGAAATAATTTTTTTCTTTCTTTTCAATTGCATCTCAGTAACATGGCGGTAAGCGAATTATCATTTTACATAGTTTTACATCTTACTTTAAACATAACACATTTCAAAACTTTTACCAACTTATCCCATGATTTTATTGCCTATCAGAAGCAAACATAAAAATCAGATCTGTCTCAACAGCTATGAGTAATAAACTTTTGTTGAAGTATTTTATTCTTGATTCAATAACATTTAATTTGGTTTCTTAAAATAATGGAAACTGTAAAAGGTTCTCTTGTTAAAATTTTCAAAGTGGTATATTAATGACGCAAAGAAATATGTACATTCAAAGGGTTATGTTTGCAAATTTTCACAGGACTAGTTTCGATGGTTTTATCGAAGTATCAGCATAAGCTGCCAAAATGCGAATGAACCAGATAAAATATAGTGATAAGACAAGAATGGGTGGATAAGCTACAGGCGCCATTTATTGATGAAACAAGAAAACTAAAACATAATTTCTTTAAAGGCTGAAGGTAAAGATGGATTGGAGTTAGGGTCGTTAACTTTAACAGAAAGATTTGCTTGAATCTGAAACCGTCTAGAAAATCTAACTCACCAATGGAAGATGTTTTTTTGAGTAATTTTGGTTGCAGAAAAATGGAAAATGTAATTTTTGGGCCAACAATGCTGGGCGACAGAAGACTTCTGTATTTCCTTTTTCTTAACATGCTCCATGTTCTTTAAGGTGAAATTTTACGACTCTCTTAGTTTGGCAAATGTAAATTAAAACCATACTGGTAAGGAATCCTGTAAATGCACCAGGAATTCATATCCAGAATGGGGTCCTTGAGTATGGAACTGGGAAATTTATCGATAGAATAACTGATCCGAAAGTTAAATTTCTGTAAAATACATACAGTTTTATAGCTTACTGATGGAAAGATGGGAATGAGAACAGAATTCTTGTTATCTCCTAAAACAAGAGTGTACCTTTTGGTTTGTTGAGATGAGAGTTTTTTAACTGTTTGATTAATAATGTTGGGTGAAAAACTCCTGTCAATAGCTACTGCTTTTAAATAATTTAGTTCTTGATCAAGAGCCAATTTGGAGGAGCAAACTTGAAGTGCACGGAAAACATAGGAATAAAAATGAAGCAAACTTTTACTAAATCCAGTGTTTCTTAAAATGTTGGTCGCAACCCCCAGGGGGTCGCAGGACTTGCAGCAGGGAGTTGCCAAAAAATTTTGCAGTTTTGACATTTCTTTAACCAATTATAATAATTTCAGAATTAACAAATATTTTTACACAGTGTATCTGAAAATAGATAAAGATGAGATAATACCGACAAAGAAAAAAGGAAAGCGTTTTGATGCATTCTTTTTATAATAGAAATGTTCATTTTACTTGCTTTGCACGTGACGCTGTCATTTCGTCTGTTATTTATTTAAAATTTTCACATTTTTCTATGTCTTAAAATTAGAAATTAAAGTTAATGACCTATAACCGCAATAATATATTAAAGTACAAGTGCAAAAACTGACAGTTTCACACGCACATGTATTGGATTTGCGCAATGCTTATGTTGTCCCATAAAATTTCATAAATATTATGGGATTCTGGGTGTCGCGAAAGAATCTTAGTGATAAAAAAGTGTCGTTTAAGAAACCCTGACATAGTCGGATGACATGATTTAAAGTGTGGTGGAAGGCAAACCGATGAAGGCTTATTTTAAATCATCATACTGAAGTTGGATGTGTTATGTGGGACCAAAATCTTGAGGAACAGAAGAGAATTGGGCTAATCTTTCGAATATGGTAACAGCTAGTTTGGCAACATTTTGGTAAGGTGATAAAGGTTACTAGCTAGGACTTTAGCATTGTACATGGATAAAGTCAAGAGTATGCACAATGCCTTTTTCGTGCAATTCTGGGATGTTTTTTTTAAGTGAAAATAGGTCGATGTGTACATGGATACAGTGTATGTGCAATTCTTAAAAACGCGGCAAGCACTTTGTGATTCTGCACTTTCTTCCAATTTCGTACCTAATCTTCGTCATGATTAAGCATTTTTGTTCCATAAAAGTTCTAGTATAAGCATAATTCGGCTAGCAGATTGTTGGGGGAAAATGTTGAGTAAAAAAAAACATGCCTTTACTTCACGAAAACAAAATGACGTCCAAAACAAAACTAGCAGGTTGCTGTAGCAGGGTTGGTCGCCAAATTTTCGCCAACAAATCGCCAAGTTACCATAATCCAAAGATTAACCGAGAATTGCATGTGTCAAGTTCAAAAGTGAACTGAATAGCAGGATCAATGGAACTCATTATTGAAAGAACTTTATTTAAATAAAAATAAAAAATATCTGATTAGTTTCCATAGCTCCTTCTCCTCACTGTAAATTACTGTAAATATCCTCTTTCTCTTCCCCAATATTAAAACAAATATATGGTTGAAATGTACATTGGTATAAAAACCAACATCTGGTGGAATTGTCATGTTTTTGATTTTATTAAATTTACTAGTATATGGGAAAGACTTTAGATAACCCATGCATGAATGTATCAAACACATTAGTAACTGTCAGTAGTAAAAATGGGTACTCTTCTTTTATAGGGACCATAATAAAACACCTAACTATTGTTAATGCCAGTGATGTATTGTCTAACTATTGTTGATGTCAGTGCTCATCATATCACATTTATCTTTGCAGTGTTTGGATGTACAAGGTACATCCGTAAAGTAACTAGACAAATTAAAAGAGCAAACGGTAAAGTAAAAAATTGAAAGAATAAATGTGTGTTTAGGAAGAGTAAGGGCTTAACTGTTGTTAAAACCAGTTTAAACTGGTTATTTTGTTGTTTGCATAATAAAATGCTGAAGTTATTTTTATTTACTGAGAAGACATTGTACAGAAAAATTCTGCTGCAAGATGCTAGAACATTATAATGTTAAATTTTGTTACAAATTAAGTAAATCTGCTACTGAAACATTAGAGATCATTCGAACAGTATATGGTGATGCATTATTAGCAAGAACACAAGTGTATGAGAGATACAACCATTTTAAATGTGGGCACGAAAGCACTGAAGCTGAACCAAAGATAGAACATCAGAACCAAAGATAGGAATGAGGAAAACCTGGAGAAAATTCGCTTGAATTTTTCACCATGAATTTGTCCTTGAAAATGAATCAATTAATCATTATTTTTATGAGGATATGCTTTTTTGATTTAGAAGCAGGATAAGACAAGTTAGAAAGGAACTTTTAGTTCCTATGGCTATAAACTGTGTTTCGATGACATAAAGAAACATTGGATAAATTGCATAGACTCTTCTGGCGATTATTTCCCATTTTGAAGGAGATAACTTTATTTGAAGGTTACTAATCTTTCTCTATATAAAAAATAAATTACTTTATATGGTTACTTTAGAGGGGGCACTTTGTATAATTTATTCTTATTTATTGTATGTGATTTCCACACTGTCTTTTCTAAAAATGAAATTACCAAAACATTTTCTTAACAAAAAGTCTAGCAGATGATTTACTCAAATAGTGGTTTCGGCATGAAATTAAACATAATAGCCAAAATCCATACAAGGGAACTTTAAATACTACCAAAGTCTTTCCCAGTGAGGTTATATATCTCGGAGCAATTATCTTGGTAAAAGTACATTTATGGGTACCCCTTGGCGATTTTTGGTGGTACGTGGATACCGATTTTGTGCAGTTCTTTCACTTGTTATTTTGGCTTTGTGTATCAGTGATTTTAGTGCCAAAAATCACCGCTACACAAAGACAAAATAACAAGTCAAATTGCACAAACTCGGTATCCGTGTACACATTGACCTATTTTCATAAAAAAAAGTCACAGAATTGCACAAACTAGGCATTGTGTATTCTCTTGACTTTATCCATGTACACGTTGATCTATTTTATTTTTTAAAAAAATCAAAGCATTGTACTCCCTTGACTTTATCCATGTACACATTGACCTATTTTTATTTTAAAAAAATCAAAGAATTGTACAAAACTTGGCATTGCGCACTCCCTTGACTTTGCCCATGTACACATCGATATATTTTCACTTAAAAAATCAAAGGAGCACCCAATTCTAGAGTAAAAGCAAACAAAAAAATAAAGAACCTTAATAAACTATATTTTAAACCAAACAAAATAACATAAAAAGGAAAAACCTCTTATGGATCTAGAAATTTCTTCGTCTTCAGTCTGTGGCATACAAAATTCCTTAACAGTATCCAAAAGCTTCTTAAAATTATCTGAACTCGAATCTGTATATCGACGTTGCCACATAAATTCACAAAAATAAGAGTAATATATATCCACTGTAGTTCCGGACTGTTCAGAAAATGGCTACTAAGTAAACCTTCATTTACACACCAGGAAACAAAAGGGGGAAAAGAGCATTACCTTCATTAATGCTCTTTTCCCCCTTTCGTTTCCAAATTGTACAGAAACTTTTAATTAATCTTACCACATTCAGCCATTTTACCATCTAAACCACAAAATAAGCAATATACTTCTTAACCAACACACACCACAAGCCCTTACAAGAATTTACCACAATCGTGCAACTAATTACATCGTAATAAGGTTTCCATAACATTCAACTACTCAGGCTACCATAAATGAAACAACAACGTCACGATAATACAAGGGGTATCCTTTTCTCTAGTCTAATTATTATCTTAATCTTTTGTAATAATAGAATTAATCAGAAATCTCTTTCTAGTATGACATTTACTATTATGCTAGTTTTTACTTACATAGGTTTAATATCATGTTTTTGCATTTTAACTTTTTAAGTACTAAGTATCATACTTAATCAGCTAATTTTTATTTCCATATGCTTAAAAATGCTTCCATCTGCTTTTCTTTTTTCTTTCTCTTGCTGACTTTATTTTATATGCATTGAATTTAATGTTTAATGAACTAAATTTTACTAACATATGTTCAATATTATCTTTCCCTCCTCCTAACTTTGATTTATATATTCAAAATGCCATACTTTATTTTATATGCATTGAATTTAATGTTTAATGAACTAAATTTTACTAACATATGTTCAATATTATCTTTCCCTCCTCCTAACTTTGATTTATATATTCAAAATGCCATACTCAATACACTTAATTTTATTCCCGCATGCTTAATATGCGTTTCCTCCTAGCTGTAATTCATACACACTAAATAACATGTTTAGTTAGATAAATTTGACACTTTGGAAAATCTGCCTAGTTGTGTTGCTTTGGTGCATGAAGATGATCTACTGAACAGAAGAAATCATAAGAAATATGTAGTAACACTATAAGAGATATAGCAAAAATCAATAACATTTGTGAATTTTCTTATCATTGATCGATCTTTTGAGCTTTCTCATCAGGAAGGGCTTTTTAATGGCCTATTGTGTCATGCATGATTATAAAGGTACAAGAAAGATTTTAAAAATTGTAAGGATTAAGTCTCACTTTTCTTTTGCGATAATGCAGTGGTGGTGATAAACTGGGAGTGCTTTAAATTAAGGAATCAATAAAGTGCGGGGAATCCCAAATGATTACTATGAATTTTCTGTGCTACACAAAAATAGCATGGTTGTGTGGTAACTGATAGATATAGGAAAATCACAATAATGTGTAATAAACTTTAAAAAAAAAAAATTAATATCTTATAAAAATGCATGTAAGAAATTTAACAATATTTTATGATTTGCATAAATTTTAATGAAGTTTATTTATTCCACGTTTCTCATAAGTATTTTTGTCATAGAATAAAAACTTGTATGGGTTATTTATCTGATTGAATTGTATTTACTAATAAAAGAGTTTGTTAAAACATCAGCACAGGGGGGAATTCTTATCAGAGGAAATTTCTTAATTTCAGGAGAGAAAGGCAGTGAGCCTTTTATGTAGCTGTTAAGTATTTAGTTTTAGTTTATGAATATAAACTACTACTTTTATTCAGTTTACCATTGGAAACTATGATCATTCACTTTTAGCAAATAAAAAGTCATGTTATGTGGAGAGAAAAAATGCTCTTCATAAGAGAAATAAAAGTATGAATTTATTTACAGAAAAATGCAAGTTCATTACAAGTTACGGTTTCACGTAGTGCTGTCTTACACGAGTAGAACATACTGTTGTAATCTCCTGCAGCTAATTATTGGCATCAAAAGGTGTGGCTTGTCAGTAGCGAACATTTACCAACATTTTCTGTACTTTTTTGATGTTTAATTTATAAAACATGTTAGAAAATAATCTAAATTTAAATAAATGTAAAAGGTGGAGGAATGGTCTAGCAATGGTGAAAGGGGTGCCTGGGGCAAAAAAAGGTGGATAACCCATTGCATTAGCAGTAATATTTGCATACTCATTTTTAGAATTTAATATGAATAATTTGAGAAAACTTTGTTCAAAGAAAAGTTGGCATGATTTCAACTTTAGTCTATATTCTGAGTTTTCAATTAGAAAAGGACTGTTACCTAGGATTGGATTGGAATAACATTGGATGAATAATTGCCATGGCTAATTAAGGTTTTATTGTATATGAAAAACTTCAGGAAATTGATCTGATAGAAGTAATTAGAAATTTACTTCAGGATTTAAAATACAGAAACCAGTTAGAAACTGCTTAAAAGTAATGCTTTTTTATTAAGAGTTTTTATTTGTTTATTATTTTAAGTCATATTTATATCAAATATGTTATAGATCTTTATCCAATGTAGTATATCATCTCACAATATTAAATTTTTTCTCTGTTTTTTAGCCTCAAAAAGGAAAGCAAGGCACAAAAGGCCAAAAACAGATTGTTGAAGAAAATAAAGGAACTTTAAGGTTTTATACTATTATGGCAGTTACTGCTGAAGTAATTTTTTTAGAATTTTGTGATCTTAATAATCCAGTAATTTTTTGTATGCATTTTTATTACCTTGTCATCCTGGAAAGTTGGTGCTTAACATGGAGAGTTTGCTTCAGTTATTGCAGCTGCCAAAAATCTTTAATAGCAGCAAATAAGTCCTTCTGTGAAGCTGCATTAATGCATAACGTAAATGCAAATAAATAAGAATCAATGCTTTCATGTGGCTTCATGTTATTTTTTCATTTTCTTGAACTTTATTACCTTACTTTATGAATTTGTGTAGGGGCACCAGATTGTGAATCAACAAAGTTACGTGTGTGACTTTTATGATGCTTGAATTCTGAAGCTCTTAACTCTTCAGTTCCAGAATCAGAAAAATTTTACTTCATTCCCAGTATTTTAAGGCTTTCATAAGTCTGCTCTTTTGTCTAGAAATTTTACAGCAAAATTCTATGTAATCAGGATAGAAAAGTATGTGTGCAGGCGTCTTGCAGATAGCTGTTCCAATCAGCTGCCAACTTATTGTCCAAATCCAGCTGCTGGTTTTTCCATGTAATAAATGTTAATGCCCTGGATCAGCTGTTTATGAAACTAAGAAGTCAGCTGTAGTCAGGAACATAATTTTGGATCCATCTGAACATATTGTTAATGGATATTCGTTAGCCACAAGTCTTTATATTGCATCATCATGGTCTGTCAGTGCTTAAAGAAGTGTTAAAATTATTAACATTCTGATTCTACAGAAGATAGTTCTAAATTTTAATAATTATTTTCAAAAAACAACAGAAAAGCAGAATAGTTAATGTAAATGTTTTTAAATGCTGCACAATATGGGGGAGGTGCTCACTTTTAGAGTTGCCTATTTGCAGAAACTTATGCCAGAATCATTTAGTGCAATGTTTGATGCAAATTCATCATATTTGTGTCAACTTTCTTGAGCCACTTGAGTGAGTAGTAATTCTAAAGTACTTATTTTGATTTAACATAACTTACATATGTATGCTTTAGTCTGAATAATGTTCTTTACTTTTATGGAAATTACCATATTTCTTCGTGTATAAGACTTTCCTTGTCTTGTTATGCTGTCGTGTATAAGATGCACCTTGATTTTGGGATCCAAAAATTGAAAAAAATAACGAATTATTTGCTTTGCAGACTAGTTTTTATTAATTTGATGGATAACAATAAGAGAAAAATATTTTATAAAGTTATTGAAGTCAACATTTATTCAGTATAGAACTCATCATCACTATCAGAAGTCCCACCTATTAGCTGGTCCTCATCTGTGTACCCCCTAAAGTACACAGTAGCTTTAGATGCAGTTTATTAAAATGTATTGCATAGTTCATCTTTAGTATAGATGATTTTGTTCTAAAAGGATTCTTTTTTGTCTCCTTATCTTTAGGTTAAAGGTTACGTAGTATACACTCAAGGGAACGGAGTTCTTGTTTAGAAACTAGAATCGATATCATTTAAACCTTCACACCTCTTTGTTCATTGATGAATGGGGATGGTGGAGAGAAATTTGCTCTGAATATCAAATGGAATTTTGAACATTTATTTATTTATTTATTTATTTTTTTAAGAAACAGGTAAGGGAAGGCATTGACATTTTAAAGGTTAACATATGCGCCCCATGTGTATCATCAACAGTCTTTCATCCTTGGTTTCATTCGACATAACTCCACAATGGCATTTCCATTACTGCCAGCAGCAAAGTGATATAAGATGTATTAAATTTTTAATGAGAAAGTTTGGGTAAAAATCTATTTTAGGGTGCCCCTTGACAATTGGCCAGCAAGGTACAATTTCAAGATGGCCACTACACAAAACCAAAATAATGAGTCAAAGAATTGCATAAACTCGGTGTCCATGTACACATCAATATATTTTCAATTAACCTTTTAACTATCATGTCCAAAGTTATCTCGGGTACAGCACTGGTATTCCAAAATGTTGCGCCCGAATTTTACTCGGGCTAATTTTTTTTTAGTGCATCGTATTATTATATCCAATTATATATCATAAGAAGTTTATTTCGGCATCAATTCAACAGATGGCAGCACTTTACTGAAGGTTTCAAAGGATAGAGGTTGAAGTTCAAAGTGTGCAGCATTTTTTTGATTTTTTGATTGCGAGGCAAACATTTCATTTTTGGAATAAAAAAAATTGACAATTTATGCACTCAAATCATCAAAATAACTTGACAGTTAAAAGGTTAAAGAAACATCAGACAATTGCACAAACTTGTCATAGTGCACTCCCTTGACTTTGTCCATGTGCACATCAATCTATTTTCACTTAAAAAAAATTAGGAGAATGATGATGTCATATAATGTTAAAAAAAGTTACTCATCACCAAAATTGAACAAAACTTGTAGCCAGTCGAAGCTCAATAAACTGCATTTTAAATCACACAATGAAATAACATTAAAAAGGAAATACATGTTATCGCATATGCGCACTACAAAAAGAAAATATTGACGTACCATATTTAGAAATTTGTGGCACACAAAATTCCTTAACAGCATCCAAATGCTTTCTAAAATTATCTAAGCTAAAAAATGCATACAGCTGTCACCACATAAATTCACAAAAATAAGAGCAAAAAATATCCTCCGTAGTGCCGGACTGTTGGTGGCATTTCTTGCATGAACCTTTCTTGTAACAAACCCATTCAAAGCCATCTGAACAATCTTTACACTCAACCATATGCATTCTCTTGCATTTCCTTCATACAAACAGGACACTTATAATGACTACTAAGTAAACCTTCATTTACACAGCAGTCCATTAATGCTTTTTTTCCCTCTTTTGTTCCATATCATACAGAAACTTCCGATTAATCTCATCACATACAGTCATTTTACAGTGTACAGCACAAAATAAGCAATGTTCTTCCTAACTCACATCCAAGGCAGAAATGAGCCCTTACAAATATTTTACCATTAGTCAAATTCACCGCAATCACACAATCAATCACATCATACAGTACAAAGTCCATAATCCAGACTCTTCGAAACTTCGGTGATTCCAGATTAGGGGTTTTTCCGGATTATAGATCATCAATTTAAATCTGGTAAGATGGCATGCAGAAATTATGCAATTAAAAATATGAAACTGTAATTTATAAAATAAAGAGCAATTATGATCTAAAGGGTATCAAAATTTACAAAAAAAAAGAAGTGGAATATTTATTATTTGTTTACGTTATTCAACATTTCTATCAATGTAAGTTGTTTAAGTTGCTTTGTTTTTTGTGCTAATACTTTCTCTTTAATTCTATAAGCAGAAATAATTCCTCGTTCAGTTACAAAGTTCCACGGTCCAAGTTCTGTAATTGCTGTGCCGAGAATACTGACTAACTTGTGAATCAAATTTTTTTGTTTTCTATAACGTTCTCTGTTACTTTCTACACTATCGGAAAGCGCGTGGGTAAACGCTTTACTGGCTTTATGCGCATGCGCGTGCATCAAACGCGCATGCGTAAGTTTGTGGCTTTGAGGTTCAGATTATAGATCATTCTGGATAATGGACATCTGGATTAAAGACTTTGTACTATAATAGGGTTCATAACATTCAACTACTCAGGTTAATATAAATGAAACAACAACATGGCAATAATCCAAGGGGCAGCCTAAAATATAGACTAACCAAAAATTTGTATTATATATTGAAAAATAGGCAATTTATCTTAATATTGCCATGATCAACCAGTTCTTGTAAATTTTAGGTAAATCTAGGTTAATTATGAAATTCATTTGTGTGTATACATGTTTCAATACTAATGAAAATATAGTAGAAAGTATTTAACTGTTACATAATTTAGAATATTAATTTTTTATTGTGTTCTTTAATTTATCTATTTTCTTTAGTGTTTAAATAATCAGGAGGTTATTTACTTCTAAAATAATAAAAGGTAATGGCTCTTGTTCTGTATTCCCCCCCTTTCTTTCCTTCTCTTTCACATATACATCTTATTAAAATAGTTTTATTTTGAAGATATGATTTGAGTTTATTAAATGGCTGCATTTAATAAAAGGCAATGTGCGTATTGAAAGTTGTGGTATTAAACTTAGCTAGTAAGGTAATGATAACTATTATCCAGTTTAAGTACAAGCTAATCTGACAGTTAATACCTAAGAGAATAATTAAAATTTAATGATAAAATAAAATTATTTATACAATTTAAATTCATTTAATTACTTAAAGTATTTGATTACTTATTTAGTAATTAATACTTTTCAAGTAATACATAAAAATACTTTTCATAAAAGTATTTTTATGTTTTTATTAAAAATACTTTTCATAAAAGTATTTTTATAAATATGTATATGATTTTTTGTTAAATTTTTAACTTTAACAAAAAATTGGTTTGCTTGTGCTTATTTCGAATTGCTCATCAACATTTTTTCTATTCTCAAGATCATAAAATTGTCTGTTTATCACTTTTCGGTTCTAGAGTTTTTCTTAGAATTTGCAGTGCTTTTGTTTATTTGATTGGAGTTAGCAACCATCACTTTCTCCCATATCACATTCACTGTTAGTTTATTTCTGCAAGTCCTTTAACTTTTTTTGCAGTACTGTAGTCAGTTTTTTTCATATTTTATCTTAACATGACCTGCAATATATTCTAAAAATGAAGCTTCATAACTGACCTCATTCATGTCTAAAACATTGGCATCAATGAGGCTTGTGATTCCTATGAGGCTTTTCTAAATAGAAAATACAGTTTTGGAAGCAACTTTTAACTGCATTTTAAAAGACTGTTCCCTACACATTGACTTTAGTATGCATAGCCCCTAAAAAAAGATACTGAGTTATGTTCTTTAAAGTACTTGCATTTTTACAAGAATTAGTGTTATGTATCCTTTTTTTTTTTTTTTTTTTTTTTTTTCGAGTGACTTCTTTTATGTTATGGCCTTTGAAAGCTTATACAGTACAAAGTCTGAAATCTGGACGTCCATTATCCAGAATGATCTAAAATACGGGCCTCAATACTGCCAACAACGTTTTTTCTCGTAGGCTTTACGCATGTGCATTTGATTCCCCCCTCCTCGCATAATAAAACATCTGGAGTGTCCCGATTCTTAATTTCACTTCGACGCTAAATAAAATACCTTGTTATTGAAGAAGCAATCAAAATTTGATAAAAAAAATAAATTTGTACAATCAGTAATTTGGTTTCATTCCTGCGTATCTGCTTGGCACTCATCTCAAACCGAAACATTCCACATAGATACATGTTGATGTAATGCCAACCTGGTGAATCATTATTTATTATACTTTCCTTTCATCACCGCATGTTTATCAAAACATGACATCTTGAGTAATGACTCATGTAGCAATGCCTAAACATTTTTTTTTTTTTTTTATGTTAGTAATTGAATAATAAAGGAGTATGGTAATCTTTTATGTTGACATTACGCTTGACGATGATCACAGGTTTAAGTTAAATGCGCTAAAAAATGTTCAGAAGGAAAAATTTACGAAACATTTCTTTCCATATGCTAAAAATAGATTTTGTTGATGATACTTATAGCCCCAAATATTACATTTAGGGCTATTTGAATTAAGAATAACTGATTTGTTATTCTCATAAACCCAGAACCAGCGCCAGGGCTCGTATGGCCGCACCAAATCACAGAAGTTAGGACCCACAGAGACTGTAAGATATCTAGCGCCTACAGACTCATCAAGAGGTACGATATCTAGCGCCGGCCCTCAATAAGGCTTAAGTATATATGGGAATTTATTTATTCAGAACTCTGATAAGCCTTAAGCATGTGCAAGAAATAGACATAAGTATAATAAATAACTAATACAAATCAGGCTTAATTATCTCAGTGCGCGATAAAAGCAAGATAAAATTTAACAGAACAACTTGTCGTTAGTCGCCAAGCTCATGATGCATAGCCAAGTATGTGTATTGAAGAATAGCTAAATTTGATGATGATAGGAGCTAATTTTAAAGGTTTTGGGATATTGCAAAACAAAGGTGAAAATTTCCAATTAAAGGATTTTATAAAGAAATGTGGAGAAGCGGTAATAAATGAAGACGATATTAAAAAAGTTTTTCATTATGATGACAATGCTTCTCAATCACCAATCAATTAACGAATGGTGAAGTCTGTAGTATGGTAGATCTAGAAAATACCACTACCGACAGTTAAAAAAGTGACAGAAGTTACTGAAAACGAGAAAATTTCGATTGACAAGTTAGTCGGAATTCTCGAAACAGCAGTTACAGGACTTCAGCAGTATAACTAAACAAGAGATTATGTCAGTCTACAGAATTAAAGAGAAAGTATTTGCACAGAAAACGAAGCAACTTAAACAACTTACTTTGAAAGAAAATTTTAATAAGGTAAACAAATAAATATTAAGCTTTTTTCTTTTTTCTTTTCTTTTTTTTTTTGTAAATTTTGATACCCTTTAGATCATAAATACTTCATTATTTCATAAATCACAATTTCATATTTTTAATTTTATAATTTCTACAGGACATCTTACTAGATTTAAACTGATGATCTGATATCCGGAAAAATCCAAAGTCCGGAATCCCCAAAGTACCGATGAGTCCAGATTTTGGACTTTGTACTGTATAATACTTATGTCTAAAGCCTGAGTGATAGAAAAAACACTAATTTAATGTTTTTTAAAACAGAATCAGAGGATAACAGTAAAGCTACGTTTTCAGTTTGCTATCTTATTTTAAAAGAAAATCTGTAAAAGTGCTACTTTATAAGTATTCATAAGTTCTTATTGCTGTTTTAGTAGTTTAGAGGTAAGTTCTTGATTCTTTTCAGACGTCAAGATTCTTTAGCCAATAACCGATGATGTTTACTTACTTTCTGCATCCATACTGCACATTAATAACACAGAAGCTAATTCATTCAGTTTCTAAAAATCAACTTTTGCTTTGTTTTTAAAAATCAATATTTGTTATTTTGATGGTGTGTAATACAGATTGGCATCATTTGTGTTATAAATCTTGTGTGACTTTTTATTCCTTCACCGGCCTAGATAAAATGTCTTTTATCCAGTTCTCACCCTGCAAATTCTGATGAACAATGTTATTTCTTGTGATTCAATGTTATTTCTTTCTTTTTGTAAGCCATCCAACAGTTGGTACAACATTCTATTTTAACATTTTACTGATTTCCACAGCTTTTATGGTCAGAAGAGCTGTAGAAATAAGGACCTATTTTTCTCTCATCTCGTAAAACCATCATAAAAGAAGAGTTTCATCATTTTTTGGTTTTTTATCTCCTTTTGTGCTTCGTTAAGCCATTTGCATTTTTTTGAGTTCTTCTTTTTAAGTACACTAATGTTGGCTGCCTTTACCACGATAACCATAATCTTTTAACAATTTATTCTTTCATGCATAAATCTTTTTACTTATGCATTTTAAAAATGTTTTGCATGCAACAATTTAAAGATGCTTCTTCTGATGATTTGTTCAGTTTCAAAACTCATGTTTTTATCAAGCAAAAAGCACACCTTGTCTATTAAGTTGATCTCTTACTTCATAGTTACAAGCTTTACCAGTGCTTTCTTTTCTCTTTCTTCAACCTACTCTAATCATTTCCTTTCAAAAACTGATGATGTACAATGATGCTAGGAAGCATTTCATTAAAGTTTTCTGAAAACTTCTTATGAACTAAATATGTATATCCCAAGATTTTGAATGTGGAAACTTTAAAAGATGAGATGCAATCTTCCAGCGCCTCTCAGATAAAATTTTAGAAAGAAGATTTACTCATTTACTAAGCTTCAAGAATCGGTCATTCATCAACCTGAGTTTTAAAAAGGGTGAAAATGTGTTTAATAAACTGTAGGTATTCTGTTGCTTTATATGCATTTGTTTTGGTTATCGAGAATTTGAACATAAGTGGTTGATTTTATTAATGAGTTCAATAAATAGTGGTTACAGTAGGAGTTTCTTAAGTTCTTTTAAAGTTTATCAAAATATTTTTCTCTGGTATTTTTTTTTTTTTTTTTTTTGTTTTTTTTTTTTGTTTGTTTAAAAATGAAACTGTTTGGATATAATATTAACCGTAAAATTTTAATTTAGATTCCTTTTCTAAATTTTATATCATCAGTGTTTTGTATTGCCATACTATTTTGATTGCTATCTGCTATGATAGATTTGGATGTTTTTTCATATTGTTCAGTAACTATGATTGTAATTCTTTGTTTTTATCAAACTAATGATATTATGTCTCTTTGTAGCTGTTATACATTGTTGTGATGATATCAGTATTTTGGGAGGCTTATACAATTTTATATGTAGTAAGTAAATAATATATATAATTTGCATGCATCATTTGGAGATTTATTTTTATGTATGTCATGTATTTTAAGTTGAAATGTTTGTTTGTGTTCTCTTTTTCTTACTAATTTTACCTCTTAAAAATGAAGAGAGGAAAATGGCATAGCATTTGTATTTTCTGAGAGAAAGGCCTTAAAGGAAAAATATAACACATTAAAAAGCATATATGAATAAAATTATTAATATACTGTGTTCTGCACTTAGGCTAGTTAACCCTTTCGCTGCGCATCCCGTGATTTTCACGGGCAATGTAAAAGTAGCAAAATTTGCACAAGCCGCGATTTTCGCGGGGATGAGTTTTTGCCATCTATTTAACTGTGCAACCCACTCTTTCCCCGTTCAAGGTTTCCTTTCGGCTTTTCTGTGATGTTTAATTGTTTATTTTAGATGTGGGCTAACAGATGGCATTAGTTGTCCCACATTTCTGCCAAATATACAAGAATACGTAATGTAGCATTTTGCATGTGCTTTTCAGAGTTCAAGGATGTCTGGCGAGTGATATAACCTATATTTCTGACGATATTTCCGACACTAATAGTAGTTCTAACTCTGATTTCAAGTATATTAAAGATACTTATAGCAAAACTGATGAGAATTTCTCGGATTCTTCTGCAGACGGTGGTGAATCTGAAAATTCAGTTTTTATTGAAAACCTTCGACAGTGGTGCAAAATTGATATGCACTATATGTATTACATTATGCAAATATTTTCATTAGTATAACACATTGTTCAATAAGTCTTGGGGATAACCAAAAGATGGTGTTAGCAATATCAACGTGACTTCATTGTTCGAAAAGAACTAACCTTCAAATGTCAATGTGTCTAATTTTCAAGGCATTCGGACCAGAAACAGCAAAAGCTACTGTGGTGAAAGTGACACTACTTGTGCATTTGGTAGACAAAATGGAGAAAAACAAATTTTGAGTGTTGATCAAACATTGCTATTTAATGGGCAAAAATACTGTGCAAGCTCAGCAATGCCTTGAAAAATGTTATCCATACACTGCTCCATCAAAAACAACCATTTGCCGTTGGTATGCTGATTTCAAGCACGGTCGCACAGATACAAATGATGTGGCACTCTCGGGTAGGTCAAATGAAGCAGTCGCTCTGGAAAATGTGAAACAAGTGTTGAAAATCTAGATGAATGACCGCAAAGTGAAAGTTCGTGAGGTTGCTGATATGGTAAACATATCAACTGGAAGCGTGGTGTATGATTTTATATGAAAAGTTGGGAATGAAAAAAGTGTTTCCCAAATGGGTGCCACGTGTGCTCACAATGGAACAAAAGCAACAAAAAGTCGATGATTCGCAGAGCTGTTTGTCACTGTTTACTCGCAATAAACAGGATTTCTTGCGTCGATATGTGACGATGGACGAAATATGAATCCACTATTTCACTCTGAAGTCAAAGCAGCAGTCAGCTGAGTTGTGTGCAGCCAATGAAAGCGTCCAAAAACGCAGCAGTCAGCTGGCAAAGTGATGCCGTCTGTGTTTTGGGATGCGCGAAGAATAATTTACATCGACTACCTTGAAAAGGAAAAAAATCTATCGATAGCGCATATTACAGTGAGTAATTGATGTGTCTGAAGGATGAAATCACAAAAAAAAAAAAAAAAAAAAAAAAAAAAAAAAAGACCGCACATGAAGAAAAAAAATCATCTTCAGTTAAGACAATGCAAACACTGGCTACAGTGAACGAGTTGGGCTTCACTTTGCTTCCCCTCCCACTATACTCCCCAAATCCAGTCCCCAGTGACTACTGGCTGTTTGTTGATCTCAAAAAGATGCTCCAGGCGAAAAGATTTGGCTTAAATAAGGAAGTCATCGCTGCCACTGAAGCTTATTTTCCAGACAAGGACAAACGTTTAAGAAGCATGTTATCGAAAAGTTAGAAAAGCCTTGGAATGATTGCATAGCTCTTCATGGTGATTATGTTGATTAATAAATGTGAATTTTTTTTAATGGATGTTGTTTTCTTAGTTAGTCCTGGGACTTATTGAATGATGTGTGATATGTTTTACCATTGTATTTTATAAAATAAATCATAATTTAACCAATATTAATTTTCAAAATTTTCATTTTATATCATTATTCTTCAATTTCAGTATTCTGACAACCTTTTCTATGATCTATTCTATATTGAAAAAAATCTTTAAAAAAAATTTTGTTTAAAAAATTTTTTAAAAAATTTTAGCTCTAAAATATATGTAGATTTGAAATATGTAATAAAAAATAAGCAATTTTTAACATATTTTGATAAAAAAAGTACGCGGTGAGAGGGTTAAAATTATTAATTTCAATAATATTCCTTTTATTTACAGTATGTGCTTTCTATCTGTGCATATGTTTTACATTTTTATCACAAATCAAGAATTTCTAAATCATATGCTGAAAAAGTTGAGGGGATGGAAGAGGGAAGTTTAGATGAGGAGTAGAAATTTGTGAATAATATGGTACAGTAAAACCTCAATTGTCCGAAAAGCTCAGGAAATGCTGAAATCTGAATAGTTGAGCATATATAAAATAACATTCAATTTAGAAAAGCCAGATCAATGGGCTAATTTCCATGCTAAAATTATAAAAACAACTACAGTCAAAAGTCGTTAATTCGGACACCCATAATCCGGACCTCAAAGCTAAAAACTTTCTGCCCATGTGCCGTGTTGACATAGGCGTTTACGCGTGCACGTTTAATGTATAACAAATGGTATAAGCTAAAATTATCTAATTATCTATTTCAGTTAATGTTGATGATTGCGTTGTTCCTTAATCTTCGAACTGGATCCGGCTTATTACTTTTTTCAGACTGTAAGAGCAATTTTATAAAAGTAAACTTGAACTTTCGATTATGTCAAATAGAATTTCCGATGCTGGAGCTCCCAAAGGATCTACAAACGAAAAGTATGTTTCGATGTCCATCAAACAAAAAGTGGAATTGCTGCAAAAAATGGATAAAGACATTGAAGGTGACAGAGAGTTAGTGAAAACGAAAAAAATTTCGATTGACAATTAGTCAGCATTCCGGACAGCAATTACAGGACTTGAACAGCGGAACTTTGTAACTGAACAAGAATTATGTCTGTTTATAGAATTAAGAGAAAGTATTATCACATAAAACGAAGCAACTTAAACAACTTACATTGAAAGAAATGTTTAATAAAGTAAACAAATAAATATTAAGCTTTTTTTTTTTGTAAATTTTGATACTCTTTAGATCATAATTGTCTTTATTTCATAAATAACGGTTTCATATTTTAATTTATAATTTCTGATGCCATCTTACGAGATTTAAACTGATGATCTATAATCCGGAAAAATTGATAATCCGGAATCGCCGAAGTCCCGACGAGTCCGGATTAACGACTTTTGACTGTATCTTACTTGTTACCAACGTGAGTATCAAAATCTACATTTAAAATTATATAAAGTTTTTTAAAAAAGTCATTTCAGATATAAAAGTATTTCATAGGTCTTAAACATAAAAGTAAACAATCGTAATTTGATTATTAAATCTTGATGCTGAACATGATAGTTGGCAGCAATGTTGGCAATCATTTTTAGCAGAAATTTAAACCAACAGATTGTTCTTTAGTTAGTTAGATAATAAAGAGATTCAAATTATGAATATAGCATATAAAAAATTAATTTTTTATGTTACATTGTCATTGTTTATCCGTTTTCAAATTTATGTGTTACATCTTTTATTGATGGCTTTTATTGATTATTGTAAGTTTAAAAATACTTCACTTCTTGCAGTCTCAAATATTAATCTTTTAAAAAATAGTACAAGGAAAAAATAGAACTTTTATCAAGAATTGACCCAATACTTACATTCTTTTAAATGCTACATTAGTAATAAAGTTTTGGAAATCACAATGTGATAGTAATACATAACTGAAATAATGCTTAAAAAATAAAGACTTTTGAAAAAATTACAAAGTGATGGGAATTCTTAGCCTTCTTAATTTCAATTGCTTTTTGTTAAATAAAATATAACTTAATTTTTAAGTTATACTTTCCCGACAGCACACCTTTGTTTAAGACGCTCGTGCGGAACAAAAGGGAATCAAAGGCAGTCACCATACAGAACTAGGGTTTTGCATACCTAAGCCTAATTAAAATATATATATATATCAGGGGGAAAAAAGTTTCACTTCTAGCAGTGTAATTTTTGGTATCATTTTAGATTATTACTTGAGCTCTATAGATGTAACTTAGCATTTAAACCTGTCTTATTTAATGAAGAGATTTAAAGATTGCTGATCTGTAAAATAATTTCGGAAGGGCTATCAAGTATTCCAAAAAAAAAGGGAGAAAAGTAAGGAAGAAAAGGGAAAAAAGAAAAAAACACAATAAAGACTATTTACAGTAAGAAGTAACAACTTTTAAATGAAGACTGTGGTAAATCTCGAAGCACGGAGAAGTATCACTTTCTAACTCTTTAGAAAATGAATCATCTTTCTCATCTGTATTAGTAAATGGTTCATTAACCATATGAGTGTATTCTTTCTCTGATAAATAGCGCCTTTGCGCCATAATAGACTGGAGGTAAGGCTTTCCGAAATAAAAAGAGGACTCGAAATATATCTGAAGGTAATGCAAAATGTAACAAGGCTCCACATGCTAACCCTAAAAGACCCTACATAGTAGAGGAAAAAATAGAATATAAAAAAGGAATTGGTCATAAAATCAGATGCACAAATGTTTATTTCACGGCAAATGTTTATTTATATTAACACCCTTGGGGATTTAAAGAGTCCTCCTCTGTTTACGCTTCCCCCCTCCCACCCTCGCAGTAGTTGATGAGTAAAATAAAGTCAGGAAGAATATATCAAACTCAAGGTCAGGAACCTAAAACTGTGTTCATTTTGAAAGTAATAGACATAGGGTGCCATCTAGTGATCTCCAGAAAAACATTCCAGCTTAGAATGCGTATACGCATTGCCCTTCCTCTGAATTCAATCCCTACTGATGCGTGGATGGGACACCCGGCTGTAAGAGACGTTCTTAAGGAATGCGTATATGGGACGCCCGTCTGGAAAGGGTTAATAAAGATTGCTTTAATTAGAATTAATCTTAGAATGTGTTTAGAAACGAAATTCTGCATGTATGATTTTCAAAACATTTTTCTTTTTCTTTTCTTTATTAGTTTCTGACACTTTTAACTGTAGCACTGTATGGAGGAAGTCTTCAGTTTATGTCTTACATGGCTCGAGCATCTTATTCAGAAACAGGTCAACTCTTAGATGGGGGTATTGATCTCAATATGGAATCTGGTATTGCAGAGTAAGTGCTTTTGAATTCTTTAAGAAGAAATTTCATTTTACTGAAAGATTTAGAAATGGTATGGATTACATGTTAGCTAATGAAAGCATAATTTGAATACCTATCTGCTAAATAAAATAATTTAATAATTTATATTGCTGTTGAGCAAAGATGTTGCTATTTTCTGATTATCCACATCCCCAGCAAAAAGTCGCAAACTCACTGCTGACTTTGGAGAGTGCACTTGAGCTTGTTACTGACTTTGGATAGGATGTTTGTGTAAGTGTATTCTTATGTATTGCAATGATGAATCTAGCACCACTCTTTTTTTTTTCCCCATAGACTAGCCACTTGTGAAACTCGCTGCCTAAAATAGTTATTATAAAAAAATATATGTAATGATTTTAATGATTCCAGCTAATGAAATTTCATTGTGGATCCATGAAATTTCATTTGCTGGAATGATTACATATATTTTATTAGTAATTAATAATAATTAATTACTAATAAAAAACTGGGACAATTATTATTAATTAGTAATTAATAATAATTGAAATATATGTGTTTATTGCTTTTTAGAATGCTTAGTTGGTTAAAATTATTATTGCATATGTTCTGCTTATATTATTATGTGCATTATAGTTTATTCCAAAAATCAATCAATAAATCTACTTACAAACACTTTTATTTTCCCCTGTCCTGGTAGAAATTTACGGCAATCATTTTAAGAATAGCCACAAAGCAATTGTTGTTCCTTTTAGTGGTTTTGCAGACAAATGCTATATTCTTGCAGAAATTGTGCCACAGATTTCTTCGACGGTAATTAAATCTCACAAGCCATATTTTAAAATCAAGTTTAAGACAAAAATATACCACTATTTTTCTATAAAAAAAGTCTGAATGCAACAAAAGGAATGCATACGAAGATGGTGACATTGTATAATAAAATTTATGAACTATTAGACACATAGCTGAAGAACTATTCACTTGATTGCTGAAGTTTGGCATTTTCTGAAAATTTGACGACTTCTACCAAGGTGACTGCACTCATACTTAAGTGCTCAGAATTTAATGGTGCTCTACATGTATGAATTTCTTCTAGTGTAAAATTAAAAGTTCCTAATGACTCAATCCAAAGGTGGTTCGAGATGTTTAGGTGCAGAAATTTGAGCCTAAAAAATGATGCCCTTTCTGAATGACTATTTAGACACCTATTAAAAGAAACTGTAGCTGAAAATCCAAGTTATACAGTTCAAGAACTATCAGACAGAATAAATATTTTTAAAAAGTTACAGTACATGATTGTTTGAAGATGACCGGTGTGTAAGCCTGGACAGTGTATGGGTCTTTACTATATAACAGCCTATACTTTAACAACAGAATATGCTGGCTTGTTTTGGCATGTGATTTTTTGCTGGAAAAAAAAATAAAGAAGCTCCTTTTTTGAAACAACTCAATACCGGAGACGAGGAATTGATACTATGTAATAATGTTACAGGAAAAAGATCATGGGCGATAAGCCAAAAGAACATCTTTTAATAACATTGAGAAGAGGGCTGCATCCCAAATTGTGGGACTGCATATGAATTGTGACCATCAAATCAGACTGTAAATTCAGAAAAATTCTGTTTCCAAATGGCAGTTTTGAAAGCAGAAATTGAAGTGAAGCACCCAGAACCTGACCAGTCTTCAATGTTTTCTTCCATTGTGACAGTGCTCCACTCCATATTTTGATGAATGTTAGACAAAGATATAATGAGTACTGTTTTATGTCACCCACTCATATTCACTAGATTGTGCACTCTTGGAGTTTCATCTCTTCAAATCACTTCAAGATTCTTTGAATAGCCTGAAGTTCACTTCTTTGGAGATCTCTTCTCCAAAGAGCTCTTTTCTTGTTCAAACAGTTTATCAAAAACTTTTTTTATGAATAAACCTAATGACTTTTCTAAAAGGAATTTTTCAGCTGTGCCAGAGATTGCAAAAAGTCAGAATGAAATGGTCTCATGTTATTTTATGAAAGTTTGTTATGTTTTTATACTGCTTCATTTCTATTTAGCGTCAAAAAACCCCAAAACTTTTCTATGATTTAAAGTCAGAGGAAGAAATACTGATTTATTCCATATTTAGAATGAATTTGTATTAATTACATTAGTGAGTGTAGTAGGCAACAATATTCATTCAAAAAGAAAGTCAGTCCAAAAGTACCATTTTAGAATTCTAATTATTTATGCAATGTGTTTAATTTGAGTAATAGAATAAAAATGCATGTCTATTTAAATTTTAATGACTAGTATCTCTAATGGCTAGACTTAGATTAATTTTACTTTTATTTCAGGCATTTGAAAGATTTAATAATACTCACTGCTGTTACCCAGGTGTTGTCTCTTGTATCTAATTATTTTTGGATATTATGGCTTTTGGTAAGTATGCCAAAACCATGCTTAATTTTTTCAAGATAATGTTTCCCTCTCATTCCTATAAATTTTGGGTTATTTTTCTAATAATTAAGGTATAAAAATTATTTTATTAAAATTAGTACTCATGTCATCAATTTCAAGTTCTGGCTGTTTTTAATAATTTTGAAATTTTTGTATTTACATCCTCTCTTTTCACCAAATACTAAGTTCTTTGTGATGATATTATATAAGCACTAAAAGTAAAGGACAACAATTTGCCCATTAAACTGAATGTGATTTCTGACTGAACTGAAAAACTGAACTTCTTAGGTAGCAACTCTTCCGGTTTTTCATCACACTCCTCAGGAAACATAGGAAATTTTTTCAAAAAGTCAGACAAATTTTAAAAAAGGTACAGACCAGTACTTTGAAATACACGTGTTAAATAGCGGCCTTGCTCAACCGTCTGGCTGCTTATTCTGCAATTTCCATGAGCAATATGAAAGTAACAAAATTTGTTCATCTAGCAATTTTCATAGGTTTGCAATTTTCCCTCTATTTAAAAGTTTATTCCATTTTTACCCCCATTTATTCGTTGATACTGTACTTTCTATAATATTTAAACTTTGAGTCATATTTCGGTCAACTGATGGCATTATTGTCACCAGAATTTTCAGATTTGTATAGATACATTTTGTATACCAGGAAGACCTAGATTTACTCCCTGAATCCTTTGAGTACAAATTAATGGCAGTTACCAAAACCATATTGAGCAAGACATCATTGGTTATTAACTTTATAGCTGCATGAGGGATTATTAATTTTTTAACAAGGTACATAGACATAATTATCTGTTCGAGGTTGTTTTGGAAAGATACATAAAAGGATTAATGAGTGTTTAACACTCAATTAATCACCAAAAGCTGATAAGCATTATTTTTTAAATAAATGGTGGTTTTTTTTAAATAGTTAGACAAAAATAATTTTTAACATCATCTAAAACCTACAGAGTTTTAATTGCTGTATTATTGGAATTACAATACATAATTTTCATATGATTGTCTATGTTTTCTTCTGTTCAAAAATTTGTTATGGATCATAATTTTGGAATATTTGTCTCTTTGTTATGCTATATCTTGGAACCTATATAATGAATTTGATTATAGGTTTTGTTCTTTTCGGAAAAATTGCAATCTGTCTCATTCCTCCTCTCGGCTACAGCCTTGTTATGTATAGTATTTTAAGCTAAACATTCAGTTCGCTCTGGGTGGAATTTCTCAGTTTATATTTAGGCTTATTAGTGTTGTGTTGTCTATGCAGCTGAAAATGTTGAAGGGGAAGAAAAGAAAAGCTATAGATTTAGGTGTTGAATGAAATATTAGGAGTTGTGAATAACACATCCCTACTTCTGTAAAACTTAACATCCTTTCAGTCCAAATTAGGTTGAGTTCCACTGTGTTCTTTTAAAAATATATATTACACATGTATTTTTCCACATGGAAAACTGAACTTCTTATTTGGCAACTCTTCTGGTTTTTCATCACACTCCTAGTAGATCACCAAATCTTCTGGTTTTTAATTTTTACCCTTATCCAAGGAAATTGTTTTTCAGCAATCAATGAAATTTATTGAATTAATAAAACTCAAGTCTGCAAATTCCATTCTTCCACCTTCTAGAGATTTTGAATATAATTTTTCTTATTAAATTTTACTTTTTCTGAATAATCTTAATTTTTATAAAATATGTAAAACTTTTATGAAGGTACTGCTAAGCTTAATCAGTTAATATTTTTATTTAATTTTATTGTGCATTAATAAATGGTACATTCTAAATTTATGAACACAATAGTATATGCATTAATTTTAATTTATTTTGTCATATTTAAAAGTATTTTCATAAATAAAAGCATTTTTTTTCCTGTTCAGTATTTTCTCAAAAAGTTAAGAAAATTACAAAATGAAATTAGCCAAATAGTATAAAACTTAGAATGTTTAATTAAATATTAATATATTTTACATGAGAATTGCTTTATAAACAGTGCTGTATCATGAAATAAATTTTAAGTCAGTATGGAGCTCTTTCGAAATAGTGTTGCTTTGTAACATAAAACCCTTCCAGTTTTTCATATTTTGAGATGGCAGTTATGGAACGTTCAGTATAAATGAACTTAATTATAAGCATAATTCTCAATGGTATTTCAAAGTTCTCTCTGTGTCTGATTAGTCTAGATTACGCTTTTTGCAAGAGTAGTTGTGGGGGCTAAAAGCTTGTAATTCCTGTAGTGAAGCAGTTACCAGATCCATGTAATCTTACATAATTTAAATTAATTCAAGAATTGGTACTTTTATGTATCTTAATTTACACTCACTTCCAAAAGTTAAGCATGGAGGGGAAAATGCTAATTTCCAGAAGCCAGTCAGAATTGAAGAGGATGCTGGAAGTATGCAAATATGTTAGGTAACAGCCAACCACGCCTTTCATGTCAAGAAATATGCAAAAAAGGCAGTCTTATAAGAAGCCAGCTTTATGAAAGGTTACAGAAGTTGATTGTAATAGTGAATAGAAGGTGTTTAAAACTTTTGTACAATTTGTTTTCAAGACATACGTGTTTCTATGACTTCCAGAAGACGAATGGAAGATTCTGAGCACTGCCGTGCTGTGGGGCACATTGAAGCAGGACAGTTGATCACAGATGTTGCCCTTTTCTTCGGTGTTCATCATTCAGTAATTTCACATTTATGGAAACAATTCTAAACCACACAGACAGTTGTCCGAACGCCTGTAGCCGGTGGCCCAAGGGTTATAACCCCCGCGGAAGTTTGATATATTGCTATTGTAGCCAAGCGAAATCGCAGAGTGACCTCCACACGTGTGACATCTATAGTTACAGCATCGATTGGTTAGGCAATATCTGCAGCTACTGTACGCTGAAGATTACATATGAGTGGACTGTATGCCCGAGTACCTGGAGTTTGTGTTCCTCTATCCACCCAATCAAGAGGAGCACGATTACAGTGATGCTGGGAACATGTCAATTGGAATGTGTCTGACTGGGGCAATGTCATGTTTACTGATGAGTCAAGATTTGCTCTGGAGCCAGATGACAGGTGTATAAGTATATGGCGTGAACAACGAACACGCAATCAAACCCAAAACATCACCGAACATCACGCATTCCGAGGCAGAAGCATTATGGTGTGGACAGGGATTTCATTAGGATACCGCACTGACCTGCACGTCTTTAAATGGGATTCTTTGACATCTGTCTAGTATCGAGATGAAGTTCTAGAACCCAATGTGAGATTGTACGCTGCAGCAGTTGGCCCTACTTTTGTTTTAATGGACGATAACGCACGTCCCCATAGAGCTGACATCGTCGATGACTACCTGGAGAGTGAAGGGATTGCACGTATGGCATAGGTAGCATATTCGCCCGACTTTAATCCCATCAAAAATCTTTGGGATGCTCTCGGCCGTGCTGTATCTTCATGTTTCCCACCTAAAGCCACTCTTATTGAGCTGGAAACTGCTCTACAAGAAGAATGGCGATTGCTAAATTCTGCAGTGGTTGACCACCTAATTGAAAGCATGGTTACAAAGTGTATACAGATGAGGAGGGATCACATACCCTATCAATGTCCTTTTTTTTTTTTTCATTTTATGCTGGTTATTTTCACTTTATACATAATTCTGCTAAAGTCTCCAGTATGTCATTATCTGATAACTTACAAAAATTCAATATTGTTTTCATATCATATAATTATTGATTTTGTTTTATGCATTTTGTAGCATAAATATATATGCTACTTCCTGCCAAATTTTGTGTCATCAAAGCAGTATTTGTTGATTTTTGCATTTACATCTTCGTGCTGAACTTTGGAAGTGAG